CCAGATTTTTAAATTCATTTAAGAGAGAGAAATGTATTAAGAAAAATGAACAGGCCGTGAACTGATCCATTAAATATTAAGTATGGAATTTGTAACAGAAGGTAACTTTGACTCTCCTATGTCATTTATGATTCTTTAACTTTCAAAGTCTGCAATCTGGTGAATTTTTGTAGAAAAAAAAATAAGCATCCCTATATTTAGGGACACTGGATGAAATATCTTCAGAAAATGAAATATTTCAGGGGAAATTGTTGCCTAATATGTCACCACTTTGAAAATGATTAAAGAAAATGGGGTCTCCCCCAGCAGAGGCAGGTACTTTGACTTGTCAAATTTAAGTTGGACATTTTCTCTTAGTTTGGAACTGCCACAAAATGAGCCCTTTCATGTCCTCAATAATACCAAACCAATGCAATCCATCTGTTCTGCTAAATTATTTCTAGTTCCCTAACCAAAGGCACTGCTTTTTCATGCATTTTATCATGATTTTATGCCCTTTATTATATTTTACAAAAGGTTCTGATTCCTCCAGGGCCAATGAGAACTGATTAGGACACTGGCCTCAATCCAGGCTTTGAACACAGGAGGGGAAGGAATAGAACTGTTTCCTTTTTCCCCTGCTCCTTGGCAAAAAAAAAAAAATATGAATGTATGCCGTGTGTGTGCTCTGTGTGTGGGTGGGGTGGGTAGGCTGCATTTTATCCTGTCACAGTATGACTTTGTAGCTCATGTTCAGAACATTCCTTTTATAATCAGGTTGCATTAACGGGCTTTATTTCAGAAAGACTATTTCTTTAGGAAAGAACCATGGTGTGTTGTGAGACTCAATGATATGGTCATTTTACATAACTTCAGTCAAACTTCCAACCTGAATATAGACTGTTTGGGGCTCTGAACTAAATAAGATCATATACCCAGGTGCTTAGCACTAAGAGTAGGTACTCTGCACATTAGTTTCTTTACTACTCTCAGGGAAGAACTGCTTGAATGCAAGTCACAGAGAATGAAAATATTGTAGTGAATACATCCTACATCACCGGGCTTCTTTATTGGGAAAATGAAAGAAGAACTTTCAGTTTTCTTTCCTAAGCCTATATTGGTAAGGTGTTTAAGACCTATATTTGGATTTCAAGCAAGAAAGACCCAGAAGAATGCCATCCCTTATATGCATTGAGTGTCCAAATATACTCAGAATTCTCAAAAATCCTTTTGGTCAGAATCTTAGATGACTTTAGATAGACATCCTGCATGCTAAGTATCTCTGAGAACGGAAATCAGTATCTCCCTAAATTACAATTATCAGAGCACTTTATCCTATTTTGTGACTGATTATGCTGTTGACTTTTGACTCAAGAGAGCATCATGAGAGGGGAATGAAAGAATAAAGGCTACACAGGAAATAGAAAATATGGGAAGGGCTTAAATGAAAATATCTATATTTAAGCATAAACATATAATAAATTGCTGATGATAATACCGGAAAGAGAACAGTTGGGAACCTCAATTTGAGAGGAAAAGTTGAATGTGACAAATTTAAGACATCTGATAAAAGTGACACAAAATAGAACTACTCCAGGAGATCCTGTGTGTTAGGAAGGAAAACTGTTGCTATTTCAGAATTTTCAGCTTAGTCATCCACCAGGTTCCCACAGCAGTGCCCCTGTGAGATATAAATCTCAAAACATGCATTCTCCAGATCATTTCTCCAGGTAGAAACATTTTTCATACTGAGTTGGTTTTTACTGCTCCCTTTCTGTAGAAACATGTACATCCTCTTTGTAGGGCTTGTTGTCTAGCACCCGTTGAAGAGAGGTGATTATCAAGAATAAGTACTACATTATACTTGGTGTAATTATTTTTTGAGAAATTTTTTCTATAATAATGAAAAAAAAAACAGTATAAAATACTTCTTAGAGTCATAAGGGAGGAGAGAAGGGGGACACAAAGAAATCAAAGTGCAAACTTGGGAACTGTGTTGCATTTTTTTTTTTTTTAATTTGACAGAGAGAGAGAGAGATCACAAGTAGGCAGAGAGGCAGGCAGAGAGAGGAGGAAGCAGGCTCACTGCTGAGCAGAGAGCCCAATGCGGGGCTCGATCCCAGGACCCTGAGATCATGACCTGAGCCGAAGGAAGAGGCTTAACCCACTGAGCCACCCAGGCTCCCCCTGTGTTGCATTTTAATAGTGAAAGGTAGGGCAAGAGTGTAAACTAGAGCAGTGTATTTTCTGAGTAAGTCAGTGCTAAATAGGCTGCACCAGATATCCTATCCTTACTGTCAGTTAACTGATATTACACAAGAGGATGACTGAGATTCAGCAGGTGTCCTTTGATGATTTATCAGCATTTGGGCTACCATCAATAATTAAATCTTGTTAACAGATTATTTTTGAAATGTGTGATTGAGCATTCAGCATAAATGCTAGTGGGATTGTGGGAGAATGAGAAAGGAGTTGGGGCAAGCATGAAGTGTATGGTATGTAAGTATATGTGACTAGTCTCTGAAAACATAAAGATATGTTTATTATTAATGGTATTTAATGTTATGCTAGAGGCAATTCAATTTAAAGTTGAAAAAGTATCTTTAGAAAAAGAGAATGGGAAAAAAATTGACAGAACTTTTTGGTAGTAGTCAAAACATGGGTTTGATTGTTAGCTATAGAACTGACATTGTTTTAGATATAGATGTTTCACGGTATCAGCATGTGAAATGTTAGTGGCTGTCAGTTTCATAGACTCGCAGAAAGGAGAGTTGGAAGCCCTCTTATTTCATGTTGTTCATTATTCTGCCAGACTAAGACTGGTTACCACGGTCTGGTTTCCAGTGCTGTGCTCATTCCAAGTTTAGATGACTCAGACCATGGAGTTACCACTGTTTATCTTGGGAGATTTTCCACCAGCTGAAATCTCACAGTTAAAATGTTAACCTTTAATATTTCTTTGAACTTTCTCTTGCCTATTTTATCTTTTTCTCTTTCTTTGTTCTGGTCTTCCGTAAATGCTTCTAAATTTGGTGTTTACCAGCAAGCCACCTATGTCAATAACATGTTTTGTTTATCGATCAGAGCAGTGGTTGACCAAGTGGCCATCATTAAATTTGCCTTCATCTTCTGCATTACTTTTGGTTTAATTTCATCATTCAACACCTAAGTAGAAATGATTTCTCTAAAGGATTTAAAAATTTTTTTCTAGGAATGTAAATTGGGTGTCAAAAACTGGGAACTTCAGTGCTATGACAAAGAAAATTCCATAAACATTTGTTTATTTGGTACAGTGTCAAGAAGTTTCTGTTTTACATCATTCCCGCTGCCTTGTTCTTACCCCTTCGGTCTCCCACCAGTCCTCTCTCACTGTGACATGATGATTTATTTTCTGCAACAAGCACAGCTCTGCCCTCTACTCAGTAAACCCCTAGGAAGTGTTAGCATATTGAGATTTTTCCAGCCTATTCTCTTTAACATCAACAGCAACCATATCTCCTTAAATTAGGGAGGTTGAGTATGGAATTGTCCTGGTCCTGAGAGAGGTGTTGCTGTCTCCTGATATTTCCTTGTCAACTGGTGATTCCATTGTCAGGAACACGAGAGGACAGCATTCCCTGAGCGGATTCTCTTTGAATTTCAGTGTAGTTCTCTGCTAATAAGATACTAGGAATTACATTACAAGTACCTTGTTGTAATACATATTTTAAGTGAAATGTTAATACTGCCTGGCTAATTTAGAAAGCACAGCAATTTTCAAAAGCACAGCTGATTAACTTCATATGCCAGCATGATGTTTTTAAATTTTTTTTTTATTTTTTAAAGCTTTTATTAATTTATTTGTCAGAACAAGAAAGAGAGAACAAGGGAACACAAGCAAGGGGAGTGGCAGGCAGCAGGATAAGCAGGCTCCCTGCTGATCAAGGAGCCCAATGTGGGACTTGATCCCAGAACCCTGGGATCATGACCTGAGCCGAAGGCAGATGCTTAAACGATTGAGCCACAGAGGCATCCCCAGCATATTTATTGGGCTTGTAGATATGCCAACTGAGAAATTTGGCCAGGAAGAATACTTTGCATATTGACTAACTGAGGTTTTACTTAATGTACACTTTTGTCTATATTGAAGGACCAGGCTTTGTTAGTTGAAGTGCAAGTTTCTGCCTAGCATGTGCATAAAAATATTGACTGAGTCTAGAGTGTGTCGGACTATCTCTGGCTAAACAGCAGTTTTTGTTTTTGTTAAATTTCTATTCTGTCACAGACTAGTGGTTTTATAAAATACATTAAATTACTATAAAAATAAAATAAAAATTGAAGATACACAAATTTATGTTAGATCCAATAGACATAAAAATAGTTTGTCTAATTACTATAAAAGTTTCTAAATATTTGCTCTGAATTTCTATATAGACCTCTTCACAGTTCATGAACAGTTCTTGAAATGTTACTGACCCCATAAGACACACTTTGAAACATTGATCTAGATTAATAACTCTGTGAGGTGCACATACATGAAGTGATCAGCATTTTGGTGATAATCAAATACATTAAAATCTATTGGTACTTATGTTCTTTAAGAAATAATAAAGAATTTATTTCAACAACTTCTACAGGTGCGTGTAAATAAGATTTTAATGAATTTACTTCTCAGCCAAACAGTAGCCTTTGTTTTTTTTGTCGTTGTTGTTTTTCATTTTTTTTAATCTGCTGTTTGTTTTTAAGCTGATACTTTACAAAGGAATTAACTATTGATTTTTTGTTATAGATTTGTTTTTTATGCCAAAGAAGACTGTGCTTTATGTCAGTCACTCAGTTAGGCCTAAGCAATCCATAGGATCTGAACCTTACATATACTCCATTTTTCAAATGTTACTATAGTACTTTACTAAGCAAATCAGTGTCACATTCCTGCATGATGAAATTTGGTTCATTGTTACTCATCTTAAATGCGACTTAGGTCTTACTTTCTTCTAAATGTTGTCAGTGTAGTACTGTAGGCTTCTCCCGTTTTCTTTCAGCGAATTCAAGGTCGAAAAGCCAGCCTGGAGGAAATACAGCTTGTTCATTCTGAACATCACTCACTGTTGTATGGCACCAACCCCCTGGATGGACAGAAGCTGGACCCCAGGACACTCCTAGGTCTGTATGGGTCTCCATTCTACTGAGAACAGCACATTCCAGCACTATCATTAGTCAATGCTGTTGTCAGTTCAAAATACTTGGCAAGCAGTGTGACAAAAAAAATCAGCTTTTCCAACAGCTCTGTGGAATGAGTCATTTACAATAAAAGCCAGTGTAGATTAAAAAAATCTCGCATTAGAAAAAATGATAATGCAAGTTCCATGATGTTTACTTTTAAATTAACCTTTAGTTGAATAGTATTTGTTCACTATTTTTTAGCCTACAGGAATGGCTGCATTGTTGAGTTTGTTTGCTTACATTTTTAAACTAAATGCTTATGTTCTAAACAAAAGAAAAAAAAAGTTGTCACATTTTTATGCAAATTTATCTTCACCTTTTCAATTTCTTTTGTGTCTTTCAGTTTTTTTCTATGATCTTAACAAACAAAGGTCATAGTACCAACTTACTTTAAGTTAAAACCCCTTATTACTCTGCTAGAACACTGTGTTTTATAGTTAAGATAGCATTTTTTTTAAAAAATTATTTTTTAAGTAATCTCTATACCTAATGTGGGGCTTAAACTCACAATCCCAGGATCAAGAGTTGCATGTTCTTCCAACTGAGCCAGCCAGGCATTTTGCATTTTAAATCTTGGTTTAATCTATTTAATGAATGCCTTAACTATGGAATTAAATAGTAAAGTAGATGGCGAAGTATGAAATTAATAAATATAAATTTTAAGTAATATATAATCCTCATACATTTACCATCAGATTTTAAAATAAAATTTATGTTTCAGACATAAACTTACATGAGTGATAAAACAACAGATTTCAGAAAAGTTTATGACAAAACCTAATTTTAGCCAGAACAGTTAATACTAATTATATTAAATTCATTAATCTTTTATAATGAAATAATAATACATGACATGACAATGTATGCTACCAGGATCATGTTTTAAGTATTTTAACTAAAAAGGCATTTTAGGACTTTTTCTTGTCCCTTTCTTTCAAGTAAACCTATTGTATCAGATCCAAAATATTGGACTCTTTCACCCAATTCAGTACTATTTATAAATGGTTTATGTTAACTGACCCTAAAGAGTTCAAATACAAGGATATGGGGGCACCTGGGTGGCTCAGTTGGTTAAGCATCCAAATCTTGGTTTCATCTCAGGTCATGATCAAGCCCCCATTTCGGGTTTCTCACTCAGCATGGAGTCTGCTTGAGATTCTCTCCGTCTCTCTCTGCCCCTTCCCGACTTTGAGTGCTTATGTGCACAAGCGCGCACTCTCTGTCTCTCTCAAATAAATAAATAAATAAATAATCTTAAAAAAAAAACACAAAAAAACACAAAAGGAAGTATATGATGTGTAGGCAGGCATCTTGTAAAGCAGTTATAAAGTGAAATTAAAAGTTAACCATTATAGGGGGCACCTGGGTGGCTCAGAGGGTTAAGCCTCTGCTTTCAGCTCAGGTCATGGTCCCAGGGTCCTGGGATCGAGTCCCACATCGGGCTCTCTGCTCCACGGGAGCCTGCTTCTTTCTCTCCCTCTGCCTGTCATTTCCTCTGTTTGTGCTCTCTCTCTGGCAAATAAATAAATAAAATCTTAAAAAAAAAAAAAGTTAACCATTATAATGCTTCCATTCTGCCTTCTTAAAACAAGTGACAGGCATCCCTAAATTGATGAAGTAAAGGCATATGGGTGAGTGTATATGCATGCATGTAGGGTGGGTAGTGGTAGCTTGGAGAGAAATTGACAGAAATGGAAACTAAAGAATACTGGATTTTTAGAAAACATGTTAAAATTTGATCATGAGAAGTAATTTGTATAGTAGAATTAAAGTTATATGTTAATGTAAAGGCAAGTCGGTCCAAACATAAATAATCTATGTTTTTTTTCCAACTTCTTTTGAAGGAATCAGCCTTTGAACATGCAAATCTTTTACATATAGTACTTCTTTTGCTCTGGATACTGTTTAATAAGTGTCCTTACTTTAACATGAATTAATAATCCCATCTAGTTTACTACAAAGATCAAGTAAATTGAACGTTAACTTTCATGGTTTTAAAAGGTAAAAATACTCGTGTAGTTAAATAAAAGAAGCTATGTCCATTTTGATTTTTTAACGTAGTAAAAATCTTCCTAATTTTTTATTCTAACTATGATCTCAAATGATAAATCAACCTAGGTATAGGTGTAGGTACTTGGGGTTTAATTGGGATAAACTTACACATAGGTGTTTGAGAGAAAGGACGTATCTATAGAAGAAATGAAGAAATAAACTTCAAGTCCAAACTGTTATACTTAGGAAACATGGCGATACAAATTTTTAATGAAATTTGACACTTTTGAACAAAACTCCTTTTCTCAAAATAGTCAACAAATATATCATTTTAAAATGTGATGATTTAAAAGTGAATTCCAGTATATAATTAGAACCTGGACAAAGGTCTTTTTCATGTATGTTTGCCATGAAAACACCAAGTATCAATTGTTGAGTTTTTAACAGGATTTTTTTGTCACTGTCCATTGATGAAGTTTTATTGGACTATACCCATCCCCATTTTTTTAAGTTTCTGTTTTAATTCTAGTTAGTTAACATACACTGTTAATATTAGTTTCAGGTGTATGATATGGTGATTGATTCAGCAGTCTGTACAACACCAGGTGCTTAGCACAGCAAGTGCAGTCCTTAATCTCCATCACCTATTTAATCCACTCCCTCCCTTTCTCTGGTAACCATCAGTTTGTTTTCTGTAATTAAGAGTCTGTTTTGTCTCTCCTGTGTGTTTCTATTTCTCTTTGCTTGTTTTTTTTTTTTTTTGTTTTTTTTTTTGTTTTTTGAGAGCGAGAGTGAGGGGGAGAGAGAGAGAAAGTATGTACTTGAGAGCCAGTGAGCAGGGGAGGGGCCGACGGAGAGGGAGAGAGAGAATCTTAGTTAGTCAGGCTCCATGCCCAGAGTGGAACTTGACTCAGAGTTCAATCCCAGGACCCTGAGATCATGACCTGAGCCAAAATCAAGAGTCCAACGATTAAATGACTGAGCCACACAGGCGTTTTCTCAAATTCCACATGTGAATGAAATCATATGGTATTTGTTTTTCTATCACTGACTTATTTCACTTAGCATTATACTCTCTAGCTCCATCCATGTAGTTGTAAATAGCAAGATTCCATTCTTTTTTATGGCTACGTAATATTCATTCTTTATATATACCACATCTTTATCCATTCATTAGTTGATGGACACATGGGCTGCTTCCATATCTTGGTAGTTTTTACAGTTTTAATTTAAATAAATTGGCCATATATGTCATTAGTTTTTAGTATTTAATGTGGATAATATTTGTACAGTTGGTGATTTAAGTTAGCTTTAGATACACATGAGGAGTTCCATAGGTACCTCTCAGGGATCGGTGCAGCAATTTCAATATTGTGTGCAGGCTACATGAGTAAAGATGAATAGGGATGTTGCACTGTTACATCCTTATTTTAAGCACTAAATTCAACTTTTGGGGGGAAGATTTCATTTATTTGAGAGAGAGGGAAAGCACGCATGCACGTGCACATGGGAGCTGGGGAGAGGGGCAGAGGAAGGGGAAGATGCAGGCTTCCCATTGAGTAGGAAGCCTGAGCAAGGCTCCATCCCAGGACCATAGGATCATGACCCAAACTAAAGGCAGATGCTTAAATAACTGAGGCACGGAGGTGCCCCTAAATTCAACTTTGATAATACCTCTGAACTACTTCAGTTTCTCATGTGAATCCAGAAACTTAGCTGTTTTCCCTAATTCAAATTCTAAGTGAATAATCTCAGTTTTTAAAAATCTCATTCTTTTAAAAGTTCAACTTTTCCTCCTTTTTTTGTTCCTTATGAAATTTGTTGTTGTTATTTAATTTTATTATCTTTTCTTTTTTATGAAAGTTGAATTTTTGTGGCTTTGTACTTATATCTAAAAGACCAGTTTAAAGTTGCTATGTACAAATATGTAGAAATTTATAATCACTGAGATATTTTCCCTCTCTTTAACCCTTTCTTTCACTCCCATATATCCTTCTTTCTCCCCTAGTCCTTCCCAACACAGAGGGAGAGGGGTTGGTATCTGTCATTGTGCATGTAGTTGTGTGATTTTCTGAGTTAAAATGATTTTACTGTTTTTGATAGTTACATTCTGGAGTTAGGGAGGAAGGATTTAAATAAAAGTTCATTATGACCAGACCTATCAGTCTTTGTATCTTGAAAGATATCTATAGCTTATAAAATGAGTAGATTTGAAAATGGGCACCATTTATCTCTTTAAATACTCTAGGCCCTGTAAGGTGACACTTTAAAAACATTTTCTCCAATCATTTCTGGTGCAGGGTTTTCCTTTGCATTAATATTCCTGTTATTCAGGATAACTGTTTCAGTTAACATTATCTTGTAGCTAGCTAGATCTGAGTCCATGGATAAGGCAATGTACCATTATTAAAAAAATAAATCCAGTCAATTCAGTGAATTAAAAGTTTTTTTACACATCACTAAATTTAAATTATTGATTATTTGGCTATTTTATAGTATTGTAAACATTACTAAGTAAAAATTCTTAAACAGCTTATTATTTATTTTATTCTCTTAGAGTTTAATGATTTTTAAAAAATACTTTAAATTTATTACATTGCAGTATCACCTTTATCCCTTTTCACTGGCTGTAGAATGCAGAGTTCAAAGGTTAAAATATACAGTATTATATATTTTAATTTCACATGTGACTAATACATCCTTGCAGAATATTCAGGAATACAGAACTATTGTTATGAGCAACAACCACTTAAGGAAATTTTGCCCTTCTCCAGGCTATCCATAAATTTTTTTAATGTATTTTTTATTGATGTCATTATTCTAGTTGTAAAATTTTTCCATGGTTTCCTTATTTTTTTTGTTGATTTCTCATTTTTTTCTTTTTTTCCTAGCTTTATATGTAATGAGATGTCTTATTTTTTCATTTGCACTTTAATTTTTCTTTATCATTTCCCATCCATTAGCAATTACATTTGAAAAATCAACACAAACAATTTATTGTTTACAAAAAAATGTTTAAAAAAATGTTCTTCTTTGACAACAAAATCTAGTTAGACTTTTGCTGACATGTCATGTGAAGTTTAACACAAACCTATTTTCAATTTTCATTATTTCTCATTTTGTTGATCATCAGTACAACAAATGATTTGGGGTAGAAATTATCATTGCCTATTCCTTTAATTACTTTGCAGGGAGGTTTAGGAGTGAATATTCTTGTTTACTCTATTAAATGTAGATATGTAGAAAATGAAAATGTAGGTAAACAAAATGATTAAAAATTCCATGAAATGCCAATTCTAGGAGAAAGTCACAAGCAAGACCTTGGTATACATTTTAAAGAAGATGTATTTCTATTTACATTATATAGATTTCCCAAAAAGGCTATCCTTATTATAGTGTTTCCTGACTTGTTTAAAAAATGTGGACTTTGAAGAGGCTTATAGTATACTTTGTCTTAATTATATCTGAAGTAGAAATTGAGAATCTGTGTATTTGAGTAGATGTTTTAATATTTAAAACATTTTAAAAATGACAGTGTTTTTCAAAAACTTATAGCTCAAAACATCACTTTAGAGGGATATCCTGAGAGACCGGCTGAGTTATTTTAAGTAAAATATATATATATATATAAAAGATGTTGTGATATATTAAATGATGTGTAGGGCAGCTAAAATTTTTTTGAGACTCAAATTTCATAGGTATATGTTTGTTCATGTGGGGCAATAGACTATATGTATAGTAATAATTCATTTGCTTAAAGTTTGTACCTATATAAAATTTGATTAATTTTCTTCTAAATCAAGTAATAAATATTATGTGACATGATATTATGTGTTAATAAACTAAAAATTTTTAAATTACAATTATATTCCCTATTGATTTATTTTTTACATGTCTTCTTAATGTATAGGTGATGCCTCTCAAAAGTTTTTTTCCTCATTACCTTGTGGTGGACTTGGGGTAAGTATGAGTTTGTTTACTGTTTTAAATGGCCAAAAATATCTCTTTTGATTTATCTATTCAGACTGTGTGTCAATAAAAGTTATCCTAGACTTCAGGATTGGCTAAGTAATTTGTAGGGCTCAATTCCCAGTAAAAATGCAGATCTCCATGCTCAAAATTTATTAAGAATTCCAAGATGGCAACACAGTGAATTAGTCCAACTATTGGGCCCTTCTAATTCTAGGGTTCTGTGTGACTGCACAGGTCACATGCCATAAAGCTAGCTTTGCTAGACTTATGTAGCTGGGGAAACACAAGAAGGTTTAGCAGTTTTGCAGTAGAATTCTGTTCTCAATAGAGTCACACTGAATATGCAAGTACATTATATTCCTGATGAAAATAGCATTACCTTCACAAAGTGCTTTGCATTGTAGCACATTTTGTTTGTGAACCCCTAGGGCCGTTTTTGTCTTGAGTAATTAACAAAGCCTTTTTTGACCCAGGATATTTATACCACATTTCAAAGACAAATTTGTTTGAATCCAATGACATGTGAAGAAAAATGTCTACATTTTTGTGGATAATTAGAACACATCCTTTAACCTGCAATCTGTTTAAAGTTAACCCTTAGCAGTAACAAAGTCATCCTGTAGAACTAAGTGTTAAGTCATGTTAGGACCGCATAATTCTAGATCAGGTTTCAAGCACTGAGGAATTTAAATCAATTAGGCTTCTTGGACATTTAAGGGAAAGAACTGTGTATGTCATATTTTAGGCAATATTTTGCTATAACTAAATTTTATACAGGGAAATCCCACATATTTTAAGTTAATTCTATCATTTTAGTGATTCTAGCCTTCACAAGGATTATCTTTCTAGTCCTTCACCTATGATTCTGCCCTTTCTAGAAATAAGAATGGCAACTACAACAACCAATATCTGCTTGGATTTTACAGTTCGCTAACATACAACTGAGGTTCATAAGAGCTTTGTAATATAGTTCTTACTATTAATACTAATTTGCAGATGAGAAACTAAAGGCTCAGAGAACTAATGTCATTTTCCTGAAGTCACAGGAAAGGATAAAATGCTAAAAAGTGTGAAGTTGATGTGCATGTCCATGTGTAGGTATTCTAAAAAAGAGTTCTTTAGGTCCTTCCATGGTTTTCATATTCAACAGGCTGGCCACAGTCCCTAGAGCCTAGGAGTGCAACAATGTGGCTGGTATAGCATGGTCCGTTTTGTGGCAGCTCAACAGTGAGCTTCACTTTTTGACCCTGAGCACAAGACAATCATCATCCTACATAAACCCTTCCTTATTTTTAGCAAACCCACTGTGAAGCCAGGAACTTGAAAAATCATTTGTGAAAGCAGAGGATAAACTGACTTTTAAAATAGGTTTCACTGGTTTTTGTGCTTATTTTCTAAAATCCCAAGTGCTCATTTTAAGAGAGTGGCTGATTACCTGCGAATGAAACAAAGCTAATAACTAATTAGAGGATACATGATGGTGACATGATATGGCTCTTAAACGAGTGATGGTCATCAAACTCCCACCCCTTTACACTTAATTCATGACCCAGAGCTGAAATGAGGACAACTCCTTAGGATCCATCTCCCAAGTCTGACTTGGATTGTACCTGTACTACATTGTCTTTGAACACAAAGTACTGTTACTCAACTGCTCTAAACCTGTACCAAGGTAACTTCTTATTCTTCAGCTGGAACTGCTCTAGTGAACTCTTTGAAGTGCCCAAGGAATGAAGAGTGAGTACTGCTTTTGTCCCTGTATGTCCAACACAAAGCATAGTCAGTATCATAAATTAAGTCCTTGCTAATGTCCCCAAACATTGACTTTAACCTTGGTGGCAGCAATGGTAGTATCTAAATCTAGCTACAGCAAGCAGAGGCAGAAGGTGGAAGACTGGATTGGTTGGACTTCAATTCTGGAGAGTGCTGGAGAGAGGCACTTCTGTTTATCAGATTGACCTCTTAGTCTTCTGAAGGTCTTCTGGGGGTTTTATGTAGGTCCAGGTGAGTGTGAACATGTGTGATGCGTGCATGTGCATGCACAAGCTTGTTCATGTTGGTACCCTAGAGAACGAGTTTGATTTGACCTTTTTTTTTTTCTTTCCAGAAACCAAGTTGTGTTCTTAGGTATTCAGAAACCTTTTAGCCCCTCAGATCTTGGGTTTAATATAAGTCCTCAGAGAAACTCTGCATCCTCTAGATTTGTACCGTCCAAATTTTTACTTTGGGGACAGTCCTAGATGTATTAAGTATACAAAGAGAGCCAGTATGAAGTGAGAGTGGTCCAGCTTCACAACATGAGGCACTTCAGAGAACTTGGAAAACACCAAAATTGCTCTTGTGCTAAGGCACTCTTCCAGTTCACATGATTGGCTTAAATTCCAAAATACTTAGTGCTCCCCAATAAGTAAACTCTAGTCCCTAGAATTTATACCATGCTACTGGATGGCTTAATTATATACCTACTGAAAGCTGATGGATTCACTGGCTTTTGGGAAGACTACCGGGGACATTGTAAAATCAGAAAATCCCTACTTACTAAATTTTCTCCTAAAATTCCATGTGATAATTTAAAAATTTTTTAAATTACAGTATAGTTAACATATAATGTTATATTAGTTTTTGGTGTAAAATACAGCAATTCAGCAATTCTAAACATTATCCAGTGCTCATCATGATAAGTGTACTCTTTGCCTGTGATAATTTGCCAGTAGTTGGTTAAGTTGCTCAATGGGCAAATGGTATTTAAGGTGCTTTAAAGTACGTTTTCCAGAATTGCATTTTGAGCAACATTTGCAAGCGTTTCTAATTCCTTTGTGTTTGGTTCTCATTTTGTTAGTTACTATGGTATGACTCACTTCTCATTAGTGTGTGATTGCAGTACAAGAAAATGCATCAGTTGCAGAGAGCATTTTACCAAATCCCAGGACTTAGTCATCATCTAATGAAATAGATAATTAAGGGACTCTGGACATAAAAGCCAGTGCAGGACCACTTTAGTACTCATTCCTAAGGGTCTATCACTAAAAATAGTGATCATTTTTCTGGCCATCTGACCTGCTGCTGTGTGAAGAAATCTTGAAATCATTTCTCAGCTTTACTTTTCCCTCTTCACTTGATAGGCCACAAAAAAAACCCCACAAAAGCAAGGACGAGCAGGCTTTTATGATAATGTCGTCATCAGCTCCCAGCTTCAAACGCTTCTGCGGCTTTTGAGTTGTCATTTATAACTTGGAACTGAATCGACCCATAATTCCCTTGATACACTTAGAGAAATTGATAACAGACTCTGCACTTCTTTTATGGCTCGGAGGAGGCAACTCCAATCACATCACTATTGGCAGGCAATATTATTTTTTGACATGGTTGTAAAAGTATAAAGGAGCTTATGGCATTTGTTTAGATGAGGAATGGGCTCTCCAGCTGTGCTGGGGTTTACAGGACCAGATTAGTGAGAAGCAAAGGGAATATGATGTTTGCAAACAGGATATGATTTTATATATAAGTTTGGGTTTCATGCTCTGTTCCCTGGGGGAAGCCCTGCAGACAGCAGAGAATTCCACTTATATCCTACAAAAGACAAGCTCCTGGTGCCAAAAGGCAGAAAAATAAACGTGGTCAGTGGGCAGTGTCAGACCCCTTAATTGGTGGAGGAGGAGCTGTAGAAGAGGCAGAACAATTCCCTAGGAGGAATGAGGAATTGCCAAGTATGGGCAGAATCTGGGACCGCCTAACTGGTCAAAGATGTGCCAAAAAATGAGGCTGTATGAGGTTTAGTCAAGGCACCTTCTCCAGCAGCAGCTCAGTCAATCTGTGAACACGAAACTGGCTTTTTATTACAAACTTTTATTCTGCCTATATTCTATTTGATTATTGCTATATCTGACACATTGTGGAGGTTAGAGATGTCATTTTTGTGATTTGGAAAGGGGGAGATGGGGAGAAGGACTAGGTGGTTATGGGGAGGTAATTTAAGGCTCATTTCAGTTGCCCTGAGGTTTTCAGCAGACATTTCAGTTATGTATTAACTATACTTACTGTACAGGAGGCAGGTTTGGATGAAATGTCTCAAGCTTTCTTTCATTCTGTCAGATTAAAAATGTAAGCTCTGTCCTCTGATATATAAAATTTACTTATATATAAATATTTTATATGCATACACTCAAAAGAGAGCTGCCTGCTATTTTCTACTACATTTGTATCTTTGTATTATTTTACCCATTACACTATATTGGGTCTTCCCCAATAACAGTAAAAAAAAAAAAAAAGTTCTAATGGCAAGTCTTTTAAAGGACCTCTCTGACTTCCTCTTTTGTATTATAATATCAGGAAATGATTAATTTTATGACCAAATCTATAGACATACAGTTAACTTCAGGGTAACAGAAATACTTGATTAATACATTCTTATCCTGCTATTCAGAGTGGTCTTCTCTGAAGCATAATCAGTATTTAGAAGGCGTAACATATGCCATCATATGAAGAGTGAAGAGCTAGAAAAAGATGACTTTTTGCCAGTTATTAGATAAGGTGTGGGAATGCAAAGACTAATGAGACCACTTTTCTCAGATGCTTATAGCGTATTCATTGTGCTGATTTGGACACATGTGCTATGGGAACACAGAGGCGGGGGCTTCCAGAACAGAAAGAAAGAAGGGCATTGTGGGGACTATTTAAGTAGTCATAAGCTAAATAAATTTTCAAGATGATTTTCAAGATGAACATATTTGTATGAGTTTGTGGGAAGGGATATGTGCAGGGTAGGGGGGGGTGCATATCCAGGCATTAATTGTTTAGGCCATAATAACACACCATATTCTTAATAATCACACTAAGGTATTGCTGATTAGTAAGGAATCTTATTTCCCTAAAGCAACAGCAACAACAAAACCTACTCTTTATGCCAAAATATGTACGTTCCGAAGTTTCGGTATTGAGTCAGGAACCCCTTCCTTTTATCATAAGTATATATGCATTCTGTGCTATTC